TTCTGGGGGTAATGTTCTATAACCATTTTCTAAAGTACCTCAATTTATTCCATTCCTAAACTTCAATAACAAGTGATTCCATTGATTGTGAATCGATACCACCAGGGCCCACCCCCCCAAAAAAAAATACCAGGATATATAAACTTTAAAAATACAAGTCATTTACACAATTAAGATGAATGTAAGTAAAATGTAAAAAATTTGAATTTATAAAATTATCATGTACTAAATAAAATTATTTACATATTTTATACAACATGTAATACTATCAAAAAGTAATGGCATTATACAGTGTCCGTAGGAGCCAAATGCTCTTGTCCACATTTTGTAAAACTTACCAACCCCAGAACATTTACAATACAAATCCAGTTTTTGCCCTCCTTCTCCCCTAATTGTTGTACCCATAAAATCATCAATAATTCACAAATATTTTGACTTCTCTATGCACATACAACGTTTCGGCAGTAAATTTTCAAAATTGTGGATAATAACGTTGTGGTCATGCTTGATTGTGGTCATACTGAGCACACCATATTAAAAAATAGTCTACAGACATTATCACTAGAAATAATATTTTGCAGCTTTATGAAATCTGCCTGTTCAAAACATATGAAAGAAAGATTGTTCTCACAAAATTTAATTTGAAAAACATGACAAATGTGTGCCACAGCAACTCGACGATTGAAATCTGCGTGTGGTTTATTGCACGATTACCCACTGATCCAAGGACATTCCTCCAGCTCGTTTTTGGGTTGTACTTAACTGGGGTAAAAATTCTAATAAAACCCTAATTATATTGTATATGGAGTTAATGCTAAAGACTACAGAATATATTACATTGCACTGTGAGTTTGGTTCCTATCTAATTAAATTCAAATACGATCACGGTTGGTATTTTTGACTTTTACATTGTTATTTATTTTAATATTTTTTGAGGATAAAAAAAAACCTTGAATTAAAAAAAGCTGAGAAAGAACATCCATGTGCTGTGAATATTCAAGGAATGTATAAAATTAATTGAAATGATTTAAGATTAGCCTTTCAAACAAAAGCTTGGCACTAATATTGGTCTTTTATTTGAGATGCATAACATAAAACCAATGTGATCCATGGTACTGATTATAATATGAAGTTATTATGAGGAGATACCTCAAAGTATGCATGAAGACAGTACAACAGGAGTATCAACAGACATGCAGCGGTGTACCGTCTGAGTGCATACTTTACAGGATCCTCATAATAACCTTATTATTATACATCTTTTCCACCCAAAAACATTTCGAACAGATTTAACGAACTTCTTTGTGTGGAGTCCGGTCAAACCCTGGGCGCTGCCATGTTTGTTTTTTTATTAGAGGATGCTCACGCGCCTAATTGCTCCATATTTGGAATTTGCGTTTCCTACTATAGTAGGATGAAAATACGCCGTAAAATTGTGACAGATGTATAATATTCATTATGCAGTCTGATTTAACCCAGAGCAAATTAGGTAGTATGCCTGTATTTCAACCTAAAACTAATCAGGTCTGTGTCTTGTCCCAGGACACCGATGTACCAAATGTGGAGAAGCCAAAAACGTAATTATCATCCATATATTAAACCCAACACTAAGTAGATTATTGCATTGTCTTAGAGCATTTATGTAACAAAATTCCTTGAAATAAGATTATTTGTACTTGAGATTTCTGAAAACAGATTAATTATTCAAATCAGGCTAGTAATATGTGCTTATTTTAATGTAAATCAGGTCTGCAATGTCACACAGCATGTGTGTACAAAGTATCATTGTGATGATTAGTACTTGAGATATTGACACTAATTAATATGCACAGATTGAAACCCAAAAACTAATCAGGTTTACAAATTATTCCAGAGCATCTACCGGTATGTACCAAGTTTTATTGAAATCTGATAATTGGTTCTTGAGATATCAGTGGAACAGACGCACTAACTGCAAAGACCCCCATTGTGTACTCACACACAAGAGTCAAAACAGTTCTGGCAGCAAATAAATTTTATCCTCAAGAAATATAATAAAAGTGCTTGACGATTTATATTTACAGCAAGTTACATATGAGATGTCATGAAACCCTGTATACAAAACATAAGACTGATATTTACAAACAAGATAAGTAAATGAACCATGAGCTGTGCTTTTTGCTAATCTACGTATGGTTGTACTGAGCCAATCCGTGTACGCTTGTACTGAGCCAATC